CCTCAGACCCCCACCCCCCCCCCCCCCCCCCCCCCTTGGAAGAACCTGGCTACGGGCCTGCAGATAGTACCGATATACACATATTTTTAATATATTTATTCATGAGATTTTGGCCTTAAGCGTGAGAGAGACCTCGAATGCACGAAACTAGTAGGTGTAGGCCTACTATATATAAACAAGAAATATTTCCTATAATAAACTCCGCATCATCTTCAAAATCCAGTCTTGTGAAGTGTTTACGATGAGGGCGTATCTTATTACTCAATTAGTCTGTCTTTCCCAATACATCGGGAACTAGAGTTATTTCAATGTGCAAGAGTGCAAAGATGATTGCTTCTAATCCCGATGAACCTCAATGGCCCAGTTGGTTCTAGTTCAGGTGCCATACGATATAATATTATATAATATTTTTTTAAAATTATTTCAATTCACATCCAACAGCGGGAACAAGCTGACCCATTAAATGCAACAATGACAATACGATGAAATACTACACAGGCTGACCATGGACCTATTAATAATTGGTTCATGGGCTGACCTAGGCCTACAGCATCCCACAGATAATGGGACGGATCTCCCTAACGATCCGCTAAGGATCTGATAATCCAAGCATCTGGTGACAAGGAACCATTAATTGCCCTCTAGACATTAGAAACACTAAAATACATTTCACCGAATACACTGTTTTTTTTTTAAACAACACATTTTATAAGAACACCGAGGCAAAAATCGCTAAAAAAAAAAAATTAAAGAACAAAATAAGAACAAATTGAGGCTGAGTAAAATATTAAATGAGGTTTTATATATGTAAAAAAAATGGAAAACCAATAAATCCGATCTGTACCTTATTTTTGCTGTATAGGTGTTACTATGTAATAACCTCTATAATACAGTAAAGTAATATACTGACTGTATAATAATAATTTTCCATGTTTGAAAAAATTGTAAAAATAAGAACAAATTAAGAACATTTTGAGCCTAAAATCGGCCAAAAATTAAGAAACACTGAGCCTGTACACCTTTTACTGGTGTACTTGACTCCTGTAGTCTTTGTCAACGCTTTTCATAAAACTTCTCTCATACAAGGAAATGCTCACACATAGTGGAGCTCATGGTTAGCGGGTAGATCGGCTTATAGGTCGCAGCTTATAAGATTCAAATAATCAAATAATGTAGCCTTTGTCAACAATTGTCAAAAAAAACCTGTGAATCGTAACCAATATAATAATAGATCTGCAGTATTAATACAGTGGTGGTATATAGTATAACATAAGCATAACGACATGTTTCATTTCACTTCATTTACTTCGCCATTAAAAATTAATAAAAAAAAATTTAAAAAAAAACGGAAAAAAAGAATAATTATACACCAATACGTGACAGGATTGCCGAAAATGTAAACTTAATTACTGTCAGGTGGCTCTCGAAAATTTGTATAAAAAAAACGAAATAAAAAAAATACAACAATACAAGAATTTATATTTTATTAGACTACATAGCCAGCTCTTTCATTCATTACAATTGTGTTATTTTTTTATAAAATAAATAAGAAATTTTTCGTTAAAGGTCTATGCTTGATATGATTATAACATCTTGTTCATTAGCAATATTATTATTTACATATTTGTTTATATTGCGTTTACGGTGCTAAGTATATGTACATATACATGCTTTATGAGGAAGTACCTCATGAAACAGCCTGTAGCGCAATAAAGTGTTAAATTAACCAAGCACCATATTCTTTTGATTGCTCTGCACCTGCATCGAGCACTGTTGTATGAATGATCTGGTCTCAACCTACACTACATAATATAGCTGTCTCTTATACACATCTAGATGTGTATAAGAGACAGTCATAATTGTTTTTACCTCAGCCTCAACCATAGTGGGACCACGACAAAACTATTTTAATGCACATTGTTTTTGTAGAAAGATCCTCATATCAAAAAAAGAAAAAAAAAAGAAAAGCAACACCGACAATATGGACAAGTACCATTATATCAAATTAAGAAAGTTTTCTTTATTCTCTTGAAAAATAACCGCCGCCGACGATAGAAAACATATCCAGCAGAGGCCTAAACAGTGCATAAAATCATTAGATGAATTATTTTATAAAAGCAAGGCCGAGGTTATCCGGGCCAAAACGACTCAGTAGCGAAACGACCCGATATCCCAGATATCTCCCCAAAACAACAGGCCTATAGGTGCAGGCCTACACAAGCCAGCAAAAAATAGCCTACCTCCGAAACTTTTTCTTGTGCGAAGAAACTGTCATCATTTTTTTTTCTATCCTCATGATCTGGGAAGACATTTTTTCTAATAAGTGGGTACTTGACAATAAACATGTGAGCTGCCATTTTTTTTCATTATTATTATAAATGGCATTATAGTAGAGATCATTGCAGTGTGACCAATGATGAGAATAAAATTATGATTTATTCATTTATTTGTAGAATAGGCTTGTTAGATAAAGCATAATTTTTCACAAGAGTGCCTGTGAATACCGTACGTTCCAGCGAGTCTCTTCGGAGCAGTGAACATGATTCTTCTGCTTTTATAAGATTACAATACAGTATATAAAATAAATTCCTATATTCTATTTTATAGACCCTTAAATTTGCTAGCAATCAGTTCAAGGATTCGGTGAAACCTTATTTTGTTTGATTTGGAAGTTACCGTACTAACTTTCGTTGATGAACTATTCTGTATTTAAAATAATTTTCTTGGGATTTTTCAGGATTTATGACGGATGGTCAATTCTTTTCTTCGCGATAAGTAGAATAACCTACGGAGGCTAGTGAAAATACCAATATAAGTTGATTAATTTTACATAAAACAGGGGCGGATCCAGAGATGTCCGAAAGGAGGTGGTGATGCAATCGAGAGACAAATAGGGGGTCATGAAAATGACTCCCGGAATAACCTCTGAGGCGTTTTAGGCGACCAATAATTTCTTTCTTTCTATTTTTTTTTTTTTTTTTAAATTTTATTTTACTTTCCAGAAAAGGGGGCCGTCGGGGGCCTATCGGGTCCCTGTGAAAATATAGTTAATACTGAAGTTAACATTTCCTATTATAGAATGTGTACCTTCGAAATTTTGTCCATTTCAGTAATTTCTTTGTGCTTAACACTTTCGTAATTTGAGTAGTGCCACCACTTGTGGTTTGGAACCCACTTTACTGCAAATCACTTTCTTGACTACCGGTACTGAGTTCGGAAAAATCATGAAAATCTTACAAATAAGGCTGTAATTAATTCATTATCATATGTCATCTTGAGCTATGCTCACTTAACTGTATTGAATGAACTAGTATCAACATGCAGACATAAAAGGAAATTTTTACTCAGTCATAAATAACTAAGCCATTATCTTCCTGATATAAAAAATATAAACAATCTCTATATAATCAGCCAATTAGACATGCTATGTATTGTTCACTTTATACCTAATTATAATATGCATGATCTTGTAGGCCTAAGTTGTGCCATTCATGTTTTGTAGTTCGACCTGACGAGTGTGGCCAGCCATATTAAACAGATTTGTAGTCTGAGAATAAACATGATGATTAAGCCAATTTCATTTTTGTAGTATGATTTATTAAGCTCTACACCTAGTGGTATTGAGCACTCTGCCCAGACGATCTGGTACCTTAATACTTTTGTATATATGTATGTATGTATATGTATATATGTATGTATGTATATGTATATATGTATGTATGTATATGTGTATATGTATGTATGTATATGTGTATATGTATGTATGTATATGTGTATATGTATGTATATGTATGTATATATATGTATGTATGTATTTTTGTGTATGTATGTATATATAGGTGATTATTATTGCTCTATTGCGTACTTATCACCTGGTATATCTGTCTGATGGGAATACCTATATAGGCCTACATGGTCCTCTTGCCATTAATAAACCAAAGGTTTCTAGATAATAATACTAAATAATATACCACATTCTGAGAATATACCTCTAGGTGCCCGGAAATTGCACTCTCATACCTTTTAAAAATCTGACTGGTAATTCATATCAACAATAAACAAATATTTTTCATTTGAGGGGATGCAATCACCCCTTCTGCACGTCCACCCAACCAGCCACATCCGCCCAGCCGCATTTATATCAATTGTATCTGCTAAGTTCGCCCAAAATCAAAGCATGTTTATTATTTTTTAAATCGAACAGCAGGTGCACAGAACAGCTGATCAGTGAGGCTGACTTAGGCTTGGAAATAGCGCATGCGCAAAATATGCTCTATAAGGATGATTATGAATAATTCATGAAATTTCACCAAACTATCCTACGTTAAAAAAATCGCCAGCTACGCGGATGGGGGTGTGCAGACGGTGCGATCGCATCCCCTAAATTGTATTAAGAAAAATGATTGTTGTTTTATATTGTTAATATGAATTACCAGTAAGATTTTGAAGGTATGAGAGTGTAATTTCCGGGCACCTAGAGGTCCATATACTCAAAATTTCCGCACCCATCTCTAACCATGTTGGGGCTGGGGTGGTGTGAACCTGCATGTACCCCTACCACTAAATCCAGCATCCACCCCCGAATCTACAGAATGTTATAATGTATACCAAACTTTAGTCTTCTTGTTTTACCAAACAAAACGTTTGGGAGGACAGTACTGTTACATGATCAAACATACATCCAGTCGAAACTGATTGATGTGAACTATATGTTGAATTTATGTTAAAAATTAAAATGCAAAATGCAATTTTTTAAGGCACTATTTTACAACAATCATGGAGGCCTCAACTACTGCAGGCCTACTTGCCAGCTAAATTGATCTTTCTGCTAAGCCCCGCCCTTTGGATATTGTTGCCAAGGTCCCACAAAATGACAGTGTAAAAACATACGCAGACATTCCTATTCGCCCTGTTCTGATTGGTCAGTTGTTAAGTTTGACGGACACACTGGTGAGGTCTATTATCTGTTAATTAGAATATTCAGTAATTATCCCCCAATCAGAAATATTACAGTAATCAATTCAATTATCACACCTTTTTCCACAATTAAATACTACCATTTCATTGTCTTCGCAACTGACTAAAATTTAACTCTAATTATTTTTTGAATATTTTCGAAGTTTTTTTAGATTCTGGACAAGCCTCTGGGCTTAAAGAGGTATCCTGTGGTTTCCATGTCCAATTCACATGTCCATCTTTGAGATGTTTCTGGTTAAGCATGTATACAAGGTATTCATTTTTCAATTCCATGATGATTTTTGTTTTATAATGTGTATGTATCTTATTGAAACTAATAAATATTATATACTAAATTATATATCATTATTAATATTTGTTTAATTAATAAAACCTATACCACCTTTCATAACATATGGGAAACTAAAAAAAATCAATAAAATATTGAATAGCTCATTTAAAAACAATAAACAATTTTTAAAATGCTATCTCTAAATTACAGTTCATATACATTATTTAAAATATCAATTTATGATCAGAACATGTCTGTTGGAACGCAAGTTTAAATATGAGAGTATTATAAGTGGTAGCTAGTTGTTGATTACAGTGATAACAATTTTAAAAATATATTCTAGTGCTCTTGTTGTCAATTGGTGTTGATTTAGCAGTATACTGCTTTTTTTGAACATATGTTACTGTGATCAAAGCTCACAGAACACAGCAAAAGTAAAGACAAACTTAATTTTACACAGGATCTTCCTTAGGTGCTTCTGCTGTGATTTTTGAATACGATCCATGTAGACTATCACGTCTTGACTGAGGCTCCGAAGTTCCAGGAAAAACATAATCATCTTGTGAGACCAGTCTGTAGATCTCTCGGTACGGTGATCGTTGAGACGTAGTGGTGGAAGTGTTAGACTTCCAGCCTAAGTTTCCTAACCATTCTGGTTCACTTGGTGATGTTGGTATTTGATTTGATACATTCTGTTTGAAAGAGATAATTTTTAATTTAATCTGAATTGCTCCCTGACAGGTAGGATTTACTGATATTTCTAAATAGTTTACAGTACAGTTGAGGTGATGGTTTATATACTGGGAGACAACCTTGTATAGTTTTTAAAAATATATATATATTTTTGAATCATTAAATACAATATTATAATAAATCAATATTTACAAAATGTTTTTAAGCAATTCATTTTCATTTATTGAATAAATATTTTTGTTGAATAAATATTTTTGTTGAATAAATGTTGTTGTCTCAGCTGGTACCATTATTTTAATTTGCAATTAACAACAATATATCATAATATTAATTGATATTAATCATGGTATTGTTATAAACAAATATGGTTAAGACATACCAGTTGTGGTTCATTCAGTTGTTGGACAATATCCTGATAATGTGTCTCCTTCTCTAGTGCACTGAGTAATGCTTTAAAGTCTCTAGCAACATAGGCAGCTTCACGACCTTTCAATGTGTCTGTACCTGACCCTTCACCGTGGTCTAGTTTCTTTAGAGTCTGTCATATAAATTAAACAAGATTAGCACCAAAGCTAGACTTTCATTGCAGGCTATTTTGTGTTAGTGGCAGTTTATAATTTAATTTGAAAAAAAACCACATCTTGGTCTCATGCTTACTTTTTGAAAATCTTGGAATAATTTCTTGCCAATGTTTTGTCCCTGTGCCTTTCCTCCAATCACATCATAGTACTCTCTGGCAACCTAGCAAAAGGGCACAAAAGTTATTAGAATACATAGGCGAGACTTTTTTATACCTTGTTTAGCGAACCCACCGACTGTAAATATTGATGATTTAAAAAAAAAAAAAAATTATTTTTGGCCAATTAGCGCACCCGCCGAAAGGAAAAATTGGTAATTTCAGAAAAAAATAAATTTTTATTTTTATTACGTCCTCTGCTGCCTTGAAATCTCCAAAGATAAGACATTTATATTTCTTCCTAATTATATTACCAATAAATTTTATTGCCTCAAAGTGTAAACTTTTTTTTTTTGCATTTGAAGCATTTAACCATCCTATTTTACATTCACCAATAAAATTTTTTTTTTCTTCTCCGTCTCGCTGTTTTTGGCAAAACTATTTGCTAAATAAGAAAACAAAATTTTATTTTTAGTTTTATTCGACCCTCCTCTGATGATCTTTAATAAAATAAGTACGTGAAACAAGGAATAAAAAAAGTCTCGCCATGACAACAATGAAGATATGAACTGAAAACACAAACAAAATAAAAAATAATAATAATGGTAACAACAAAATATGCAAAATTAAATAATATACTAATGATCAATGAGAATATTATGAATGTATAATATGAATATAAATATCATCAACAACACAAATACTTTAATAATATAAATAGTAATATAATTAATAATATCAATCAATATATGACAAGCTCGGACAAAATAAACTCTATATGTTGCAAGTGAGCATCACAAGACATATTATAAAGGCAATAGTTGCATCATTATTTGATATTCAATGCAATTTTGCTATCTCATATTCTATGCACTAATTTATCGATATTGCATGATCTCTTCTACCTCTATCCATTCATCAAAAAACCTTGTTAGGCATAACATAAACCATGTAATAAATGTAATTAAAGAGAGATATATAACTAATTTGTTGTGTAAGTGACTTATCCTCACCTTAATGTCATTCTTCCAAAACTGATGAGTTGTTGCTGTGCTGGTTTTTGGTGCCACTTCTTTTATCTTAATATTTAACAGATAAAAGAGATTTTCCAGGTCAGATAAAAAAAAATTAAGTATAGGATTTAGAAAATAAATATATTAGTTACTGATACTGATATATATAAATATGGCATTGTTCAATATTGAGATACCTTGATATACTGTAGTGTAGTGCCAAAAGTTCAAACAACAGTTTTCATGAGAGTGCAGTGAATAAAGGTCATTTATAAAGATAAATTAATTCCATACAGTTCAAAGACATTTTTATGTTCCGCATAATTTCTCTTGGTATCTTTATTCAAAAATACAAATATCTAGCAAAAATACCTTTGCAGCCAAAGTTAAAGTACTGTACCTTTTTACAAGTGAACCCATCTTTCAGCAATAAAATCACTTGATTGATTTATTCATTGATTCCTTTATTTATTGATAAACACGCACAATTCTCCAAAATGAATATGGTAGACCAAGTCTGTGAGCAAAAAAAATCATCTAATTGATTGACTGATTGATGAAATATACAAAAAAATAATATGTACCTTCATAACTAAGACAGCCATCAGGAAAACACAAAGTATATTCAACAGAGTGAGTATTAGGCTCAGTGTCCCAGCCACTGCCAATTCTGACGAACTATAAACATCTGCATCTGGAATGTCTGTTGTATTTATGTACACCATCGATTGGCATGCACTAATAATTGAAGTGGCCCACAGCATTCCCTGGTGGTGGAAGTTAGAACATATCATAGTTATAATACTACAGTATAAGTAGCTATTTTACTGTTTTGCTGAATGACTGTTTTAAAATATGTTTTAAAGTACACAGAGATTTCAGTGAATGCTGCCCTCTGTTTTTATTGTTGAATAAAATATACCTTAATATAAATGGCAGGTAAAGCCATGCATAAACTGCATCTTATGAGAATAGGCTTGTATAGCACCATATTACAGAATTGTGTTTATTTAAAAATGTTATTGCCAAAAATTTGAATTTAGAAGTCAACCTTCAATGTGCACTTTCATATTCTTACTACAAATCATGCGTAAATTTAAAGATTGCATATATTTATATTTTTTTATTATGATAAATATACTCTATTTTTCTACCCACTTACATCGCAACTGTGATATTAAGTTGAACAATTTCTGTTATTGATACACACAAGTTGACTATGTACTACTGAATATACTACAAATCCAAGCTATCAGCATATGATCCAGGTCAATCTCAAATGGTCATTATCCCATGCAAAACCACATAGGATATTAATTAATGTAGTAATTATGATGAGGGTTCTGGCCTGTAGTCCATCCAGTTATAATAACTCATAAGCCCCTTTCAGATAGACATTGCTGCAATATTGCGGTTACTGTCTTGCTCTGTCTTAGAAAGGGTCTACTCGATATTGCGGCAATCAAGCAGGCTTGTGCATTTATGCATAAACAAACAAGGTTAAATTAGGAAACAATTGTGCGGTGGTATTTAAACCGCCAATATTATGCCATTCTATGGAGTAGCGCAGTTGTGTCATCACGACGCCAGGTGGCGCTCTCTGTTGTCAACAGGCGTAGGTTACCATTCATTACGCCTGAATGACTTCATAGGCTTTCTGGAATAGGCATTTTAAATATAATATTTTACCATCAAAATGTACTAAAAACACAAAAGCTCGCATTATATTAGTTATTGAACACACATTTAATCAATTAAAATTTACAAAGAAAAAGTAAGATACAATATCTTAATAATTACGTTAGAATTTAGGATCATTGGTTTGTCAGTAGAGAAAATGGCGTCCGGTTGAAGGCATTTTGCAACAATAGCAACGAAGTAGTATCACATGGTATCGTGACGTAGGATTACCGCAATATTGCAGCAATGTCTATCTTAAAGGCAATATTATTAGGGTGCGAGGTGGCCTAAAGCAAGCCGGCATATTGGCGTATCGACCCTTTCAGACAGAAACCCATGCCAGCGTGCTCATGGCTCTGTCTGAAAGGGGCTATTGTTATACTTACTGCATTAACAGCAGGAGGCAATAAAGATGCAGATATTGCAACCCCAATAAGGGAACCAGTGTTGTTGCCAAGAATTGATAATGCTACTCCAGCACCAGATGGCAACGCTATAAACAGACCAATAAGAAGACTCCGAGGCTTACCCCTAAAATAAAATGGTTCAATCCAATGACTAGTTTTCTGGTTTCAGAAGTGGTGTAATATAATGTACAGTACATAAAGATATAATCATTTCATACACTTTAATATTTACTTAAAAGAAACTAAATAAAATTACAAATTTTAATAATAATTTAATAATAGTGATCAAGCTTACTTCAATGTTAATGGTCAGGGATTTTGATAGATAATCATGATATCTAGGTCCCTGGAAAGTCATATTTGCACAAAGTTTAACAATTGTGATAACAAGCATTTTAACAACTAAGTAGATACAGATACAGAAGAGTTGACTGAATCATGAATGTATTTATATACAATAAAATGAGATAAAAAATATTTACAGTAATAACTTTCGTTTTTGATTCTGTTGAAGTTTTGAAGGGAGGTCAATGGTTTGCCACTAGTAAGAAGGAACATCTAAGAATCAATAATGCTTATAACTTTACCTGCTTTTCATTTCATCAGTTGGCCACACATCACCAAGAAATGGATAAGCAACAAAACCAAATAACAGCCCTACAAAAACAAGATTGTTTGTATTGTATACAGTTCTATAAAATACACAAATCAATTGCAATGGTTGTACATAACTCAAAAAAGAGACTGTTTAACTAATATAATAACTTGTTTCTTAGTTGCTTAATCATATTTGTGTTTGTAGGTATAGGTTTGACTGTATAGGTTATATCCTGGTTTAGTTTAGTCATGGAGTTATATTTACACTGAATAAATAATGTGTATTGCAGACAGCACTATAATATATAATTCAAAAGACTAATTACCACAGAAAACACACATGAGTAGACCAACAACCTCAGTCTTAATTCCAATATTTCGTAATGGACTGTGTTTGATTACAATCCCAAATGTACCTCCCATGATTGGTCCCTTGATTGAAAGAAAAAAAATCAAATAAATTAATGTTGAAAAATATTTTAGTGTTGGCAGACGGAAAGGTTTACAACATATGACAACTTAAACAACCAGTTTTTAGCTCGATTCCAAGTATTGTTGAAACTTTATTTTAGAAAGGCTTTACCTACCATTAATGGTGATATTAGCATACTGGCAACCAATACCACAGAACTGTCCTCCGATAAACCAATTGCAGATATTAGACTGTTCACACAAATAAAAAGAATGAAAGAAAAAATGCAGTAAAGGCATAACATCATCTCCAATATTTCATATATTTCAATATTGGTTCATAATTTTATGCATCTATTTAATTGGTATAGATCTATAATGCACACTTAGGCAGATAGTTATATAATATATATTTGTTTTAATAATAATAAAACTTAAAATTCGTTTTGCGCCGGTATCCATCTGAAGAAATGCTCATGGTGCATCGACGCAACAGTGTACTCCAAAGCTTAAACAATCCTTAACTCAAATTTATTTTTATTTATTTTTTCCAGGTAATAAAACTATTATGGTTTATGAATGAATTCAAAATAGCAAATAAGTTTGTTAATAATATTAGAGGCATATCTATAAAGCTACGTTCACATCAAGCCCGGATTCCGGTCCCGAGTCCGGACCGGAATCCGGGCCCGGTTACGATTTCCGGTTGTGCGTTCACATCGCGTCCGGGGAACAAAGCGTCGGGGTCAAAGGAAGCAACCAAGTGGAACGACGTCAACATAGCTACGGTGATGTCGAGGATGCTGTGGAAGACGTCAAAATTAGAAGAAAAATGAGAGATCCGAATGGGTCAATTCAATAAACTGAGGAAGACAGACCCCGGGACCAAACAAACAGTTTTGATCGTGCTTCTGAGCCTGACAAATATTTACAATTTCTGTATTTAGGTAGGCCCTAGGCCCGCCTAACTAGCTAGCTAGGACAGATGTAGGCCTGGGGGGGGCTAGGCCAAATTACTATGTATTTAGGCTTAGTGTAGGCCTATAGTGTATAAATCCTAGCTTCTTACCTTTTCCTTAGTATCATGTTAAATTTAAATATAACACCAGGCGGCGGCAGCGGCAGCCGAGGGGGGGGGGGGGGGGGTGCTGTAGACCCCCATGGGACATGTCAAGCTCTCCGACGACCAGAGTTTGTTGGGCAGTCAGACCAAAAAAAAAAGTAGGCCTAATGAAATGAAATGAGTGTTTATTGAGCTGAGTTTATAGATCTTAATTGTACTTTATCAAATACTGAAGAGTATTTTTCCAGTCTGAGAGAGCGCCATTTCTGGATATCCAGAGGTCCTATTTGAAAAAAAAAATCTCATTAGGATACCCCCTCCCAAACCATCTACCCGGCTTGGTCGGAAGGCCCTCAGATGGCAATGCGTGCCACAGTTATCCTTTTCTCACTCAGCCCCTCCCCAAAAATACATCCTACAGCAGCACTTGCACTTTAGTCCTATCTAAACTACTTTATGTTGACTCTATCATGAACTATAAGCTTACCAGAAAATTTGTTATAACAGTATTTATAGCATACCACTAATTTATTTTTGCAACCTTTCTTATTGACAGTTCTTAACTTTTGTGATCATTATAAATAAGCAATTCAAAATAAAAATGCAACTATTTGTGAGGAACAGTACATTTTTAATTAAAATAACTAAATCAAATCAGAGTAAGCATACAAACAACAATTTTGACATTGTACAACAGATTCTTGTATTTATTAACAATTTCACATTTATATACAAATTGTTCTCGTGGTTAAACCAGATATTATTTGAAACTTACCGACGTTAGCAAACTATGTGGAATTCAAATTTGGAAATATTATTTTAATATTAATATTGACCACTAATTAATAATGTTCACAAGGTTTAACTAACCATATATAGAAAACTAGAAATATACTTATCTTTTTTAGTGAATATGTTGTTTGATGTGTGATGCAAGTTACGCCTAAAATACAGCATAAAATTAAAAAGCAAAAACAAATCCCGGCACGGCACACAGTATCTTTTCTCGCGCTGACTTTTTTCGAGCTGTTTCATTTCAGAGCTAGCGTTGGGGTCATTCACGCTTGTCGCTGATTGGTCAGAAATAAAAATCCGTTCGGATTCACGTTTCCAATGGCTTTCTGATCCATTGCTCCGAATCCGGAGTCCAGGGAAAAAATCGGACTGTGTAGATGTGAACGCTTCTATTCTTTACCACTAAAGCCATTTCTCACGATTTTTTCTCCGGACTCCGGACCGGAATCCAGGCTTGATGTGAACGTAGCTTAAAACATAAAAGTAATGAAAGCAATATAAATTACCTTGCTAATATGATAAGCAGTACAAAATCAAATGTTAGATTTGATGAACTTTTAACTTGCTCTACTACCTATGGCACAATTCAATGGAAAAAAATTAATGTAAAGCATTTGACAGCACCAAAATACTTTTTATAAGCAAGCATGCAAAAAAATGTAATCTTACTGGTCCATATATTATGATTGACATAGAGAGGGTGTGCGAAATAGCTATTGAGGAAGAGAAGAATATATGGGGTGATTAGGAGCTTCAACAATTCTGGAAGGAGAATAAAGATTTTTTTTATATGATTCAAATCGCCAAATCTAGCGAAGACAAAAAAGAGTTAGACGAAGATGATGCTAATGTGTGTCTAGTAAAGCGGAGTGTTGGACATGTTGATGCATAGTCAATCATTCAAGATTTGCATAGAGACCAACCTGAGCAACAATCAATCTGGACCGTATTGACTTGACAAAGTTTTTAACTTTTGTGTCCTTTTGAATATCCTCCGTCTGAGGATTGAGATCTTCCTGTGAGCCTGTAACACTGTTGTCCGCAAGGTGAATGGGCACCGGAATAACACTATAGAAAAAAAAAACCAATTAGAAATCAACAGGGCTATTTACGTTTTTATTGAATTTAAATAATTTTACATATAAATATTAACTTATTCAGAACACAATTACAACAATTATAGTACTGTACTTAGTGATAATTATCATGTTTTGTTTTGTATTATGTAAATAAACTATTACTTTTTAATGTGTCTTAGCATGTAATTCTACGCAGACTGGTAATACCATGTGTTAGGTAATGCACCAATATCTTGAATCTTGAACTGTAATCACTGTAGATAAGAATTATTTCTTATTCTTTTGTTGTATAGAATTGAAATATTGCATCACAAAATATTTTTGATTGTTTACATGCATCTGGTTCAATTTGATTAGCTAAGCCACATAGTTACTAATTAGCCAACAAAGAGCCACTGCCAAGTATTAGAATTACAGTATCGGAATTTTCCTCTACACTGTACTGTAATTTTCAATACTTCAATACAAGGCTGTTGTTTAGCCTACTATACCTCAAAGATGTTTGGAAGTGTTTTCCAATTCCTCTTTCAGATAGTGTGTTGAGGGCTTTCTCTGTAAGTTCCACTGTGCTGCAAATAAAAGTAATTTGCGCCCATTGTTCGTTTTCGGATATTGTCATTACTTGTTTTTGAATTCCAAGGAATGGCAGCACAGTTCTTAAAATCTGAAAAAATTTAAAGTCTTGTTGATACTACAGTACAATATATACTGAATTTGGGCTGGCCCCTGGGGACCTGCAGCAGCTCTGCCTCTGGTAGTGAATTGGTATTGAACATATAATTAAGTACACAAATTGGAATGATTTATTGCCCCAATCATGGCCTAGATAGGGAGGCCTAACCTAATATCCGAGTAAAGGCATATCCATAGAAATACAGGCTTGCAGACTGGATGGACAAGTCAACTCATTAAATGTCTTATTTAATATATCAGGAGAACCTGAAACTATCAAGCACATTTCTCCTACTACAGCATGGCCAATTATACTTATCTGGTTTCCTGAATTTTGAGTTATGTGTTGGAACGTCTGCAAGACTAGAATTAGGCCTTAACCTGTTACTAGGCCAGGCTATACTCAGTTTAACAAACTGAAGTGGGCGTGTCGAAGGGAATATACCGTCGAAGGCGCTCCCGGGTTCGAACAACATATCTAGTCTGATGACTCTAGCTAGGCCTAGTCTTAACTTAATACTGATGATAGGCCCAGGGAGGGACCTAGCGCTACTAAAGTACAGCAGTAACCAATAGGCTAGGCTAGGCCTCAGCCTAGTTAGTTTCTGGCTAGGCCTAGCCTGCGTAGCGGCGCCTTACTTAGTTAGGGCCTATGCTAGGCCTCACCTCTATGCCTAGCCGCTAGGAATACCCACACAAGTCTAGGCCTAGCAAAATTGGCCTAGGCTAGGGGAGCCTACCTCTGAAACTTCTTCTTTTGCGAAGAATCTGTTATCATCTGGTTTTTCATCATTCCTAGCATTTGGATACTTGACAATAAACATGTGAGCAGCCATGTTGTTTTGGTTTTCTCATTAAAAAGCGCCACCAACGAGAGTAGGTTTAGCAACTTTAGAAATAGAACTCCAGTTTCGGAACGGAATGTTTCCTACCTCAATGTGGTGTCCCCTGAATAGGAATAACTCTATTTCGGGAACACTAACACCGAAAAGTTGAAATTATTCCGTTGATAATGGTTTTAGCAAGCAGTCATTCAATTTAAAAAACAATGACATAATAAAGTTGTTATCAGTAATTACGAGCCGGCAGCGTAATTATTCCAACTCCCAATGTAACTATTTCCAACTGCTATTTCACCACCGGTTGGTAATGCAGCTTGTCGTGTCTCGAAATCGAGTGTAGTCTTTCAATTACACTTTTTTTTTTATAAGAACACATTATTTTTAAGAACACTGAGGCTGAAATTGCTTGAAAATTAAGAACAAAATAAGAACAAATCAAGTCTAAGGTAAATATCAAATTAGGTTTTTATTATTGTTATTGTTTGTTTAATATAAAAACACAAAAATTATATCTATACCTTTCGTGCAGTAGGTGTGACTATATATTACCCTCTATAAAATACAGTACGGTACAGTAGGTGTACTCTCTCATTTGGGGCCATTTTTACCTGGCAGTTTTTCTGGGGTCATTTTTTCGGGGGCTTATTTTTCAGGCGCCAATTTTTCCGGTACAATGACAATTTTCTACGTTTAAAATAAGAATAAAACATGAGCCTGAAATCTTTCAAAAAATAACAACAAAAAATGAGCCTGGGCAAAATTTTACTGGTTCTTATTTTTTAAAAAGTGTAGTCAATCAAAAAGGCCTACATTTATGAGTGCGTGCTTGTGTATCATTATGTGCGACGTGATTTTGTGCACATGATATAAGCCAACTGGTAGAACAGTGCACACACTGTAGTTTCTTAATTTTTTTAAATTTTATTACCATGATCGGTTATCTTAACTTCAAACTACTGTTATCGATGTTATAAATTTATAAATGTAACAGGTGCGGCATAATTATTTCACTGGTAATTCTTACCTTGTACCAACACACGAGATCGCGTCTGTATCTTGTCTTAATGGAATTTTTTCGCCACATTGAAGCCATTTCAGAAACCCTAAACTGCTAGATAAAATTGTAGGTGGTAGTGCTTTAAAAAAAGTTCAATATCGTGCCAGGGCCCTCTATCTCAACCACGCGTCGATCGTCTAGAAAATTACTTGCACGGATCCGGATCTGTAGAATCTGTACAGAATCATTTGAAATATTTACATTTTTTCTTAATTTATTGATTTTTTTAACGCTTATACTCTAACATCCTAATTTTCTCGTCTACTTTCTTGGAGGTGTAATTTCGTTTACTCTACCTCTAAACGCGCCGAGATTTCACTGCCAAATGTGTTTTTTTGTTCACAAAGCCGATGCTCGTGTGATTGATTGTGAGTTTCCTACCCATCAGATTCTCAATGCGCCTGCTGAGGCGGTTCGGCAACAGGGTTGGCGCCAGGATTTGCCAGAAGGGGGGTGCCGAGGTCCCCGACGGAGGGGGGGGGTGTGATGCCCCGACGAGGGGGTGAGATTCCCCTCGCTGGCGCCACCCCTGTTCGGCAAGCCTGCTCATGACTATCATTCCTATCATTAGATATAACAGTATTTTTACCCCTCCTGTTATACTCCAGGGGTGGATCCAGGATTTAAAAGAGGGGGGTTCGAAATGTTTCCAAAAAATCCGAAAATAAAAGGGGGTCCGTGGGTCCTCCCCCGGGAAAATGTTGATTCCTAGATGGCGGCCGGAAATGAGATTTCCCGACTTCTGAGGAGTCTTTTAATGACTTCAAAATTCAAGGTTTTCCCCCGCTTGAAAAAAGGTCAAGTAATTTTATCTCATTCTTTAGGCCTATCATAGAGGAAAAATCAAAGACAGGCAATGTATTATTAGCCTATATTATAACAACATTGAGTAGTTAAATATCTAGTCTTTTTTCTATGGATTGATGAACCGATAGGCCTTAAGAAAAAACAATGTGTATAATTTATTTAATTAAATTGAAAACTAGTTGGGCTAAGCCTAGTCTGTCTGATCTTCCAACCAATGCCTATAGGTTAGCATGCTTTTTGTAAGCCAGTACCCAGTTGTATTTTGTTACGTTTCTTCAAGGGGGTTCGTCCCTTGAAACCACCCCCCCCCCCCCCCCCTGGATCCGCCACTGTACTCCTACACTTTTAGAGTCCGAGGTCCCTTTACCCACAACCAGAACAAAATAATAAAGCATCACTCTCTTTGAGACTGACTTGGCGCCCGGCTCTTTTATGTCATGAAATTATGATCTTGATGGCCTTTTTCTCCTTCGAACATCGTTATTTTTTGTTGCAGTCTTCAGGGAAGATATTTGCTTGTCAGCTCCGAGATTTTTGATTTACTTATAACTTTTGGGAATAAACTGTTAATTTTGATGGCGTTATTAAAAGGCTTGATTTATTCCAATAATGTAGATGTATGTGAGTGTTCTCCACAGTTCGGCATGCAGTAACCAACCGTCCCGCATTTCGAAGTAAATTTGGTTGAAACAGACATTTTGCAGAAACACATGCGTGATGATAAATGTTTTTACGCATTTAGCACATGTTTGTGCGTGATAGCGAATTATCATAAATTCAGGGGAAAATCTATTTAAAATTAGAAGAAATTGGTTTTATTAAACATATAAAAACGGTCATGCAGTAACTTGAGTCATATTATGACAGTATTTACGTGAATACTTAATTCACTGACGCGTTACTAAAAAATAATCAGTAGAGGCCTATACCTAATCATTTTTTGTTTTTGTTTTGTGATGAAAAGTTTGTGTACATAGTTCGGGTGCTCATATGAAATCATAATGTACATTAAAACTCAAATTGTATGTGGCTTTATTAAAAATATTATTGTACCCGGTATTCAACAAACGCTCCTAGAAGTCAATTTATACAGCTTAAAAAATGTTGAGATCGTCGGAGCGCCAGGGGCCCTCGGCCCTGGACCACACCGAGGCTCCGCCTCTGGACCCCAGGGGCCCGGACCTCCCCCCAGCCATAGCATGGTATAGTTACGCATTTCAAGTATCTCAGGTTGGCAATGGCTATAGGCCTTATACAGAGAATTCTTTAAGTTATCATACTGCCTCTAACTGTATAAACCCATTCTGTTCTAATTTTGAAATTTACATGCAAGAAACTGATAGTTTTTTGTCACAAAATCATGTAGCAAACAAAAGCGCGCCAGCTGTCTCAAGACAAAACTTTCTCTTTATCACCTTGGCCCGATTATTTTCGTTTTCTTACGGCTCCGGTTCAATGACGAAGACATTCTTCCATCCAAACGTACTGGGGCCTTGAGTTGCGAAGTGGGGTGGGGGGTGGCCGGAAAAAAAAAAACGTCTTGTACCCCAGAACTGACTGGAGAATCGCTGGAAAACTCATAGACGGCCTTAGACGACCATTATAATGTTTGTAATACACCAACAATTCTAGTACCAGCGGAGCGGATGGCTGCCAACAACAAGTAAAATCACGTGATAGAGATCAGGTACAGTACGTTAGGAAGAGGAGCTACCATATCAAGACGAGAAAAAAGCAGACGATAACACATTTTGATATCGTGCGTGCATCAGTAGGTAATTCAAGATGGTTTGTTCGTATTTAAACTCAATTACTGTATTCATGGAGGTATACCTCCATGCTGTATTCAAGTTATATGACGTGTTTATACAACAGCAATCTAGATTTATGTGGTATTAATTACTTTAGCTGGGCGTGCTTTTATCTCATATGTGATTGCGTACCTCGTCCACCTGGCATGTCTCTCTCTGGTGTTTATTGTGAGTTCGACGGATTTCTTTTAGTCGTACTCCACTTCAATTCGCTTGTTCTTGCTATATGTCAGAATATCCGAATACACAAACTGTACTAAAACTGATTTTAGTTCATGGTTCAATGCTTTATAAATTGGCGTCAATTTTCTTTTATTATGCCTCCATTTTGCAACTCATAGTGTTTGGAGGCTTTACGTAGCGGTTTCACAGCCTATGGTACGCCTATTTTTCCCCCAACATTTTGATAAGTTGCAACCGAGTTTTCGCGCTAGGTTGAGCAGGTGTAACTTTTCATTAAACATCCGGCATCATCCCTTCAACTTCTGTGGACGTCAGCCAATAAGATTGCAGGTGAAGCGTGGTTTAATTCCGTGGTCTTTTGGGGACTAGGTCCCCTACGTTTATAAATGAGTGAGGTTACTCGTATTATGTTAATTAAATGCTCTTTAACTTTTTGCCATATTTTCTCATGGTCTTGTATATTCTATATTCGTTGTTTTTATGCAATAAACATTATTTCGAGTCTGTCTCTATTTTTTGACCCAAAATCTCGTATGTCGTATATCCTTGATGGGTACCTGTAGCCGTTGTTCGTTACGTTGCTAGTGGTATCATTCAGGCGCGAGCATTATTTTCGAGTGCACCGCATGAATAGAAAGATCGTTTTTTTTATTTCTTTCAAGAAAACAAAATTGCTGTTTGGTCTATAAATCATAATACAAAATACCCAACTAATTGATAACCCATCGTCTAATTTATGAGGTAGGCCTACTGTATTGCGCTGCATATCGTTAACTCGTGTCTGTGTGTCTCTGCAGGCCATGCTTGCAAAGTAAGCTGTCGCAGTCAATGGTTCATTTTATGTGCCTTATCGATATTTTCGGCGATGGAAGAAGAGGCCAATACCACCTGGCTTGCCTGCCAATATTGAGTGTCACAAGGCGACGCCAAATGTGGTTCACACGGTCACTATCGTGTACCAATACATTGATGTTATGGGACGGATGCAGGATTTGGGGAGGGGGGAGCGTGAGGATTTTTTTAACGTAGGAGAGTTTGGTAAAATATCATGAATTATTCATAATAATCCTTATATGTTCGATTTTTGATAGAACGACGCACCATTCACTTTCATGGCCGGGATTTAGCCTTTGTATGGACCTTGCAAAAAATAAATAGGTATGATTTGACACATTTATTGTCAGTCTGCCAATACAATACTAAATAATTGTTCAATTGAAGTTTATTAAAATTCCATTATAAGCTATAGAAACTTCGCTGGATGCTGCAAAGAGGACTTCGCAAATTATGCCCATAAATTGGTCTACTGGCACCACCACTGTGTGCTTTAGGCCTACGAGGTTTCGCAAATAAATTCATATCTAACATAAGAAAATACATACAAAAGAAAATACTTTAGTTAGTTACGGTACATAACATAAGTGCATAACATAAGTAAATCACCTTCTGTTTACTTTGTTCACGATAAAACAGACTGGATGTTGATATACCGGTAACATACTGAATGAAGGCTCTAACTTTACGTGATTATAAGTAATACAGTACTTGCATAATTCTGCAAGTAATGTAAAGTACCGGTACTTATAAAAAAGACCAAATTGCTCATGGACCCTGCCTATTCCATAAGTTTGACTACATCTAAAGTTATTAAAAGAGCCGCTTTTTAATAAATTGTATCGGCTCAGTTTGACCCAAAATATATTTTCTGTCATCTTATTCATCATAGTTCCATGGTCGGACACAACTGTATTACTATACGTATGATGCGTGGACGCATCTAACCATCACATAAATCAGGAGGAAAGAAATTCTTTCCTCCATGCTTAAATGTCAAATCAACAAGGAAATTCAACTCGTGGCCTATGAAATACAGTTTAAATACCAAAACAATCATAAAAATAATTTTTGAAATTAACTTGCCCATTTTGAAGTTACATAAAAGTTATCAACTTGAACATAGAAATTAGTATATTTAAAAAATGTCTACCCATCAGTTTACAGCGAAAAATGATAAAAACACTTCCAGTCACTGGAAGTGTTTTATTATTTTTACTATAATTTTTTAGTTAAAAACCAGGGTACACATTTTTAAAATTCAATAATTATTATGCACTAGTTAATAATGTGTATGCTATTGCAATATGAGCAAGTTTATTTCAAAATATTTTTTTTAATGATTTTTTGACATTAGCAAGAGACAATACATCTTTAAATGCAAAAGTACTATACTTTCTGTAATCAATATTTTAAAAAACACAATTTAATCAGCCTGTAAGAGATACGTGACATTTATATTTAACACTTGGCTTCACACAAGAATTTTACAACTTGCAATGTCAAAATATGAGTGTATTATTAATAAGATTCCTAATTATTTCAACCGAATATTTTGTTTACTTTTAAATATTTGTTAAGTTCACGATAATATAATAAAATAGACTGGATGTGATATACCGGTAACAGACTGAATGAAGGCTCTAATGTTACGTGATTATAAGACTTGCATAATTCTGGACTAATACCGTAACTTACCAGAAACGGCAGTAAAGAAAGACTGGTTATCCCACCCACTGAAGCTCAACCATGGGGTCACAACAGGGAATATAGAGAAGGGACATAAGCAGCTTGAAGCCCAACACCAAAAATAAAGTAATGTAGGCATAATATGTTATAATGTATAATCATATCAAAGGCCATTGTGCTCACTGGACCCTTTGTTGAATTAGGCCTATGCAAATATTGACTGATCTAAAATTATTAAAAGAGCCTCTTATCAATTTTATCCGCTCAGTCCGCCAAAATTTAATTTTGTTAATCAAACACTAGATCTCTCACGATGCACAGAGTAGCTGATCGTTGAGACTATACACAGACTTGACAACAAGCACATGCGCAAAATATGTTCTATAGGCCTAAGGATGGTTATGAATAATACATGATATTTTACCAAACTACCCTACATTAAAAAATGTTCGGCCAGGGACTTGCACAGAATATGGTGTGTCCACCTGCCTGAGCCACACCATGGTTGAGGCTGGGGTAAGAAACAATTATGATTATGGCACCTCTAGATAGTCGGAAATGGCACGATCGGATTCAAATTTGAATATAATTTTTTGTTTTCTTCCGATCTCTTTTTTAATAATAATAATAATAATAATAATAATAATAATAATAATAATAATAATAATAGTAATAATAATAAATGTTCAATATAACATTTGACCTAGCCTATCATTTTGTTTCACAAATGACTAATTAGTAATGTCAAGCGAAAAGGTTTTCACTACAGTTTTTGTTATAGAAGGTACTATTAATTAAAGTACGGTAAGTAACCTTCAGAGAACTTTTTTATTTTAATAAATGGCATAATTAAGTATCTTTTTGTTTTTGTTAAATTAGATGGAATTTAAATGTGGTTATGTTACGTGATTTAATGGTTTACTGAATGCCAATCAGTTACACTTACATCTTCATTGTTAGCATAAACAGGAATAGAGCATTTCACCTTAGTGCCTACCTCCGCACTGTGCCTAAAGGCGGGCAGCGATTCCATTGTTTTCTTCATGCTTTAGATGCGTGCTTTACAGACTTCAATCAATATAGTACACACTGGTTGCTCAACTCAAAAAGTTGAGCCTATTGTTTGTTTGAAAATGAAAAATATATGTTTTTATAATAATAATAATAGGTCGGTTTATAAGGTGAAAATAAACAAGGTCTCTAAGTACCAAAATATTAGAATAATAATCGTTAACGATGTTTGCCACTGATGCTTAGAGCCGTTACAAAAGTGGGTGATGGCAGGCCCCAGTAGAAAATGTGGCGCCCCCCCCCCACCTTCCGCCGCCGTTGTCATGTCCTACCGGTATAAATCCACAAAAGCAACATACTATTTTAATTCGGCATTGCTTTCACACATCTTAGATATGCCAAGCGATTATTAAAATATTGAGTTTAGTTTATTGCCATTGCTTTATATTCCCAACCTGAAATCTTACACTAATAAACTGACGCATAGTTACCAACCGTCTCGCATCGTGCGCGACGGTCCCGCATTGCAAAGTGATTTTGGATGGAACACGCATTTTGCAGAAACACATGCGTGATCAGAAATTTGTCACGCATCAGCATAAATCTATGCGTGATAACGAATTATCACGAATTCATTGGAAAATGTATTTAAACTTAGAAGAAATTGGTGTTATTAAAATATAAAAACGGTCATACAGAGTAGCTTAATTCATTAGAGCTTTCGTCATCTCGTTCGAGAATCAATTAACCGTGAAAATGTCTCTTTCCATACCGAAAACAACCTAGCCAACCTTTTACTTTTATAGAATCTGTAGTTGCGTGCGGTCTTGTGCGTTCCATTATCACAATCAACCGTTGATTATGTGACTGGAACCCGGGCCTCCAGGGTTCCGCCACTGACCCCAGGGGCACTGGCGGCGCCCTCCCCCCACTCAACTGGTGTAGTCACGCATTTCAAATCTCTCAGGTTGGTAACTTGCCTTGGTCGGTCTCGCGCGAACTGACGTAATTCCGCCTGAGTTCACACAAATCAGATGAAATAACGAGTGTAAAGCTAAATAAAATATTAGTGATTATAGTCTTAAGGTAGCCAATCGAATTTTGAGAATCCAAATTACTCTAGCTTTCTTTTTTTTTTTCTTTTGTCATATGAAAATTTTACTTTGTAAACTTTTTAGTTAATAATCAATTTCCCAATGACACATCATTTGATTTTTTTTTTTTGCATTTAACTTTCAGCGTTTTGGCCTACTTCTTCAATAGACTAATTGACTACAGTATATTGCGTTCAAAAAGCTTAGTGCAGACCGGGTAGCAGAACTTGTTTTTCATAATTTTTTTTCTATATAGGCCAATGTGGCATAACCACTTGCTCTCACTATGTCAAAATAAAAAAATATGATTTTACTATGTCAAAGCTCTGATTATTGACTTTGAATATTAGTATATATCGAGTGATTCATGGTGTTGGAAGTGGTCCCTTGCTCCAGTGGCGTAGAAAAGTATTTTTCATTGGGGGATGATTGAAAATTCCTGGAATTGACATAAAATTACTGATGTCGTACACACCCTTCAGTGTGAAAATGTGGCTTGCTTTGCAAGCACATCTAACATCTAAGGAAAGAAGAGCTTAGATTGGTACCAGATAAAATAATTTTGTTATCAACATTAATACATTATGCTAATTTTCATCTTTGTAAGCGTATACGACATTGCAAATTATTTCTGTGACAGTCTTTTGAAGTGTGTAAAGCTCCATTTTATCCCATACATAATCAAAATATTGGGGGGATGATACAATGGACCACCCCCTGACCTTGTCAAATATTTGGGGATATATCCCCATCCCCCCCCCCCGGGATCTACGCCTATGCCTTGTTCTACGGCGATACCATCGAATATATGGCAATAGATTACTAACCATAGAAATTACGGCGGCATACGCAAGAATTGCTTTCGTTAAATTCCAACTCCAACTATATTCCCCATTGAATATCATTTTGATTTCTTATGTCATCCGTGTCATGATTGATTACGATTATTGTGACAAATGGGCGGTACTCTGGGCTTGTGGGCATCACTCAAAAGAGCTTGGGGTGACTTTCTAATCATGTGTTGTATAATACTTTGTTTTAAACATTGTATTCCACATTTTGTTCTTGCAGAATGGCAGCTGAAAAGCATTCACCAATCAGTTCGACAACCTATGTGGATGGGGGTACCCCTATTCGATATCCACAATCTAGTAATCCCTCGGTGAGAGTGGGAAAGTACCTGACAGTGTTGCGGCAATCCTTAATTGACGAATATGGCGTATTTTCCGCCAAAATCGGCCCAACAGCGTCTTGCATCAGGCTTCAGCTGGCGGGCATAGACGCCCGATTACCGCTTAAGGCTAGATCATTTGCCGAAGACAAACTTCCACTGCAGCAGAAGGTTTGGGCGAAAGTGATTTCTGGCCCAAATGCGCAAGGAATTTACACATGCTCTTTTCAGCACATCACTCATGACGGGAACGCGGTTGCATTGGAGGAACTGGTGAGGGAGTTCTGGAGGGACCTCAGGGTAAAGTCCTTACATTCTCCGTCCGCCGACGTAACGACAAAGGGAAGCTGCATTATGCGTGCTGGTAAACCGGCTCCCATACAGGAACAAAGCTACTCTATCGTCCACAGAAAGCGTCCAGCCCAGTCATCTGATATTCCGGAGAATGACTCTGCCTCATCCTGTTCGCCAAGTAAAGGTAAAAATCACCAATGGCGTGGTTTCAGGTGCCCGGTGGCAGGGTGTGGGAAAGTGAAAGGATATCCCAAGATACACCTGAGCACACACGTGCCAGCCTTCATGACAGAATCCTCCGACGACCTTACTCCAGCCACATCCCGTACCAGATGGGTGTATCTACAAGAGTTGGCCACCATAGGACCTGTTTCTGAAGGTGATCTTGACCAGGCAGTACAGCGAATCAACGACGCCAGATACATAGAGTTTGGGTTTGTCATTACACCGCGGCTGTGGGAGCTCATTGCAGCCATGGCAAGCGTTGTAGGGATGCCAATGCCAGAAGAAATCCAGCTGATCCCAATATGCTCCCCGTTAGCTCTGCTGCATACCAGGTGTTTATTATTTCTTGCTGCGGAAGCAGATCCTCAAAAGCTGGCTGAGTTAAACCAGTGGTACACGCAGACACGTCATCGAGCACCGACTAGGGCCTGTGTGGAGGTACTGGATTCGACGTCCATGAAGGTAGCCAAGGGCCGAGGAGAAGCTCTCTCTTCTGTCTTGGAGTGCCATCGCCGAAGTAAAGCCATGGAAAGTAAATCAAAGCCGGTGAGTCGAAGAGATTACAGCCCAAGTTGTATGGGACGCGAGGGCTCTAGCCAATTCCTTAACCAAAGAAGATGGCAACATCTTGATGTGATCACACCAGTGACGAGCCAAGAGACAAGATATGATGCCGAGATCTTTGTGGGAACGAGCCGCGAGCTTTTCCGCCTCCAGTTAGCAGTAGAGCAGTCAAAGAGCAGGACCGTGGCAGAAAACGCTATTAGTATGTTAGAGGGTTCTTTGGCTACCATCCGAATGATGGCGTTGGCGTTTCCCCACTAGTTACTGAAAAAAAACTAAAAAACGTTGTTACTTCAGTGGCGTATCCAGGGTGTTCAAAAGTAAATATGATGTATCGAGAGTAAAGGGTAAATTAAGTTTATTTTAAGTTTTGGCATCCATTCCTGTATATACCGTACTTATTCGAATTAACGTCCCGGGGATTTATTTTTAAGGGTTTTTGTGGGGGAGCTTATTTGAGGAAGGCGTTTATTATTATTATTTATTGGTATAAAACGGATAGGTGTAGTACTCAAACGCTCCTATGTCACTGTAAATGTGGAACTACAATTACCGTCAAGTGCTTTATTGCGTGATCATAACGACTTATTGATTACAACCAGGTTAGAAAAAATGTAAATTTAACTCTGAGGTAGTACATTAATAGACTGTTGAGAATGATCTTGCTTCCATTATCTGCTTACGGTCATTAAGGGAGTATTTATTTTAGGAAAAAGATTAACGCACGGGCGTTTATTCCAAGCGAGGTTTTAGAGCAGGGGGTCCGAGGTGGCAAAGGACCCCCGTCGGAGTCCCCATCTGCCCCTGTCTCTTATA